TATTCCAACGGGAAAATTGCGACACCTGTGCCAGGTCTGTGGCAGGCCGGCCTGCCCCGCAGCAGGCAGCTGTGTGGGGGGGCCAATTTGGCCCAAGTGCTGCTTAGTCAGGCTCCAACACTGAGCAGAGCTACAGATATGCCCAGACCTGCCACCACCAGGTGTCCATGTCTGGGCCAGGAGGTGATGGTACAAATGTGACTCTTACCTCCTGGTGCTTCCTGACACTGTCCTCAGAGGAATGTGCAGGACTCAGAAGAGGCCACCACAGCACACTTTCTGATAGGGCTGCAGCTCTCTGTCCACTTTCTATATCAAAAGCCTTTGCAGGCTTTCTCCCAGTCTTCCTGCCAACAGCCCCAGGGCTGGCTCCTCCTCTGGGCCTCTGGTGGGCTCAGGTGAGAGGCGGCTACCTCCCTGGGCAAGTTACCTACCTGCCTGCCTGCCTGCCTGCCTGCCTGCCCTGCTGTAATACAATGTTCCTATCATCAGCACCCAAACCTCCTAGCTAAAAGGTATAGAGTTTTTTCTTTTAAATACAATGATTCCCATGATTTAAAATACTTTTAATTACAATTTTTTTCCAAGCTCATTTGTACCTACTAGGGGAAAAATTGCTTGTGAGAATTAGTTTCCTAACAGATTTACAAACAACTGAACAGTCTTTAGGGTGTAAATTCTAGAAAGGTTTATCAGATACTTCTGGACTATGAATTTAACACAGGGTTGGCTTATAAACTCAGTGTGGCTTTTGATAGTTCTGTTTAGAATTCAGATGGGCTGTGAGCTGTTCACCATAATATTCACTTACAAATATTTATTGTACACCTACTATGTACTTCAACCCCAAGCCTCAGGAAGACAAAAATATATAGCAGAGAGTGCAAATGAAGAGCACATTGGCCAGATTCAGCTCACAAGCATTTTGTTTGATTCAAACTATATTTATCAAAAATTTGAATTAGTTGCCAACTTTTAAACATCAGAACATTTCCAGCTTCTCTTGAAAACTCAGGAAATCTGGCAAAACTGAGCTCACATTCCCAGCTGATGACAAGTAGAGTAACAACTGCCCACTTCAGACAGGCCTTGGCTCTCCAGTCCTCACCTGCCCATTCCCCGCTGATTCCACCAGCCCAGCCTCTCTGCACTTGTGGCTGATTCTTGAGACTGGGAGTCACAACATACCCACCCTAGGAAAGGCCTCATGCAGAGACAGAAATCCAACCAAGTCCCTCATCTCCAAAGAGTTAATTCTTGCCTCCCTAAGATCAAGTTAGGTCACGGTGATTTTATTTTTCCCCCTTTTAGTAAAGATTTTTTTTTTATCCCTGTGTTCAGACAACTATAAAGTTAGTGAAGATATTGTTTTTTATAACTTGCTAAGACAAGAAACTTGACACAAAAAGAAAATGGCAAGGCTGAATCACAGAAGCAAAAAGTGAAGATTTCAAGAGCGAGGTGGGCTCTCAGGTATGCCCTCCTTCACCAGATGAAGAAGCTAAAGTCTAGAAAAGGGGAAGGCCATGCCAAATCCCACTGGCGACCTGAGAAGAATAAGAACATGGTCTGTGCAGTCTTGACCCAGCCAGTACCACATTCTTCTGTATATTCCAGGGTGATTTCTCTGTCCCAATTTCTGCTTATGTTTCCAAGAAATCACAGAGAAGACCATCAGATCTGGGGAATAAATTTGAGAACTGAGTTCAGAAATCACATGGTGCTATTAGGTACATGATTCTAGATGAACTTGCAAAAGATTAATTAGTGTGTTTCACCCAGACCTACTAATTCCCTACATATGGGTCAAGATTGTCTTCTTTGAAAAAACGTAGCTGTTGACCCCACTGATGTGTGTTCAGAGAGGCAGCTTGTGTTCAAACTCTGTATTGCTGAAATCCTCCTTATGTTCAGAACCAGGAATAGAGTTAAACAAGTTGATCCCAACATTTGTTGCAAGTGATAACTTTTACTAAAACAAACAAAAGACACATGAAGTGAACACAAAGATAATGACCCAAACCTTTGACTGGACATATTAAAGACACTGAAGTGGGCCATTACCTGGGACTTAAACATTTTGGTATATTTATAATAAGCATAGATAGCCCTTCAATAATATGCAACCAAGAACCCCTCTTGTAACAAATTTAATTCAAAAAATCAGTTTTAGATACAGCAAAAAGGAAAGGAAGAGAGCAGCATTTGCAGAACAGAGACTATTTTATTTAGTCTTGCCAATCTGGCCTGAGACAGGGTTTCATTTTTTTTTTTTTTAAGATGAGGAAAGGGAGGCCAAGAAAGCTGACTTCCTCTGGTAGTTTCCAATTGCTCAGAACACGCTCTGCCCGGTCATTCTAACTCTAAACTTGAGCTTTGTCTCAAGTTTATGCTACTCATAGCGGAGAAGCTACTAAGATGAATAATGACCAAAGTAGTTAAAACAAGGACACACCACAACTAGGCTACAAAATACAATAAACATGTTAAAAGAGTCAGAAACAAGTGCTTGGGGAGGGCTGGGGTTGTAGCTCAGTGGTAGAACATTTGCCTGGCAAATGTGAGGCACTGGGTTTGATACTCGGCACTATATAAAAATATAAATAAATAAACAAAAGGTATTGTGTCCATCTACAACTAAATTTTTTTTTAAAAAAAAAGTGCTTGGGGACAGGGGCAGGAGAGGGCAAAGCACATGAAGTGGAATTTGGGGGGTCAGGGAAGGCCTCTGAAAGGTGATGACATTTCAGAACTCTTTAAAGAAAGCATTGTGTAACAACAAAGAGCAAAAAGAAGGAAGTCTTAAATCCTGGGTGTTGGGTGGGAGTGAGGTAGGGGAATGAGAGGTACGCAGTTTAGACTGGAAATTAATAAAGCAAGGATTCATGAAGTTAGCCATATGAAAAACTGAATCTTCCCCACAGGCCAAGGCTCATTGCATGAGGTCATGTCACTTCAAGCCTTCAAGAAGGGCCCCACGATATAGACCTAGAACACTCACCTGGCCAGAATGCCAGGTCCGCGAGGCCAGCCTATGAAGAGGCAGCAGGGCCCTCTGGACCCCATGCAGCCCATGCAACCCATATACTTTCATTCTCCTGTGCTAAGTTCCCTCCTATCACCTCAGAGATCTGCCCATGTCTTCCAGAGTCAGTGTCAGGCATCCTCTGAAAGAGAGAGCAAAGAAGGCCTGATTGTCTCAGGTTCTTTTCTGCCTTGCCCTGGGCAGAAGGAAAGTGGAGTCCTGCTTCAACAGCTGTGGGTCATCTCTGTCCTTAGGCCCCAGAAAGCAGGTTCTCAGGGCAGGCCCCTTCCCATCCGTCCATCAGAGCTAAACTCCAGTTTGGTTTTCCACTACACTTAATATCATTTTGTCCTTAGTATACAAGAAGACAGGTGAAAAATTAACGCCATTTTACAAATGAAACAAACTGAAGCTCAAAGAGCAAAGTCGCTGCAGAAGGAAAGGGGGTGCTTGTTTGGTTTCTTTAATAGAGCCTCCTGGCGACCCCCTTTTTTCGCGTCCTGCGACGCGCCCGCACATCTTCGCTGCAAAGAGTTTCTGGTGCGAGGAGGGAGGGACCCGAGGACGAGGACGCCCCAGGCAGGTTGGGGAGGCACTCAGCCCCAGAGAGGACAGCCAGAGAACTTCAGAGCGTCTGCCCTCCCCAAAGAGGCAAATGCGGACACGTCTGCGTCTGACACGACAAGTGCCTTCAAGCCCAGCGGGCGGACCCCTCCCGCAGCGGCCGACGATCTCCGGGTCTGGGCTGCGGTCGCGCACCAGCTGCACTGACTTAGCGCTCGACCGGCGTCCGGAGCTGGAGGCGGCTCCGGCGGCGGCTCAGCAGCTCCGAGGCTCGGCAGCCAGGGGCGGGGAGGGGCGGGGCGGGGCGGCGCAGAGGCCCGGCGCAGGGCGGCGCGGGCACACGCGGCGCGGGGAGCCGCCCACTTCGCCGCGTCGGGCCCCGACGGCGGAGCTGGATGCTGCGGCGCCCGCCGAGCTGGGGCGGACGCGGGGCAGCCCGGGCCGGAAACACGCGCCGGGAGCCCCGACGCTGCAGCCGCAGGATGGCCGAGGTGAGCGCCGCGGCGCCCTTCAGGGTGCGGGGCGACGAGCGCCCCTCGGGACCTGGGACGCAGGGCCACCTGCGCAGCGGCGCAGGCGTGGCGCGGGGTGGTGGGGGGGAGAGTCACCTCCCTCTGGGGGGCCACAGAGCGCTCGCGCGCGTGGACTCCCGACGTCCCGGAGCCGCCGGCGCGTCGCATGCGCGGGTCGGACGCGCTGGGTCTGCCTGCCGCCACTGCCCACACGCTCCAGCTCTGCCAGCGCCCGCGTTTCAGCCGGGGACATTTGCACTCACCGTTCGGACTTGTGAAAGAGCCTCCCCCTACCCTCGCTCGAACCCTTTTTACCTCAGAATTAATGAGACAGCTGCTATTTCAAGCCGCCGGGTTTTCTACCTGAAGTTTGTTTCTGTGGAGAGCTTTGCGGGTGTAGCCTGGGGTGGGTTCTGTGAGAACTGCGAAGACAGACGGGGGCAGTGAGGGCCCTGTCCGCCGGCGGACAAGTCCTGTGTCTTTAAAAAAAAAAAAAAAAAAAACGACCAAACACTGCAAATGGACAATTAGACGGGTCTGGTCAGAAAGCTTGCAGGGCGGCTTTATCAAGGCCATTGCTGACCACGTCCCCGGGACGTTAGGCGAGGCGGTCCTAACTCCGGAGAGCACTGGGGTGGGTGGGGGCGTCGGTGCCCGACGTGAGAACGGACGAGGGGGTGTCGGACTCCTGAGAGAGACCGTCACCTGCAAGCGGCCGGAAGCGAGCGCGGGTCCCCGAGGCGGCAGTGCCTCTGCCTGAAGGTGCTTGCCCCGGAGCGCGGACCGCGTGCGGGGCTGCTCCGTGCCGGGACTTGAGGCGCCCGGGCCCAGTGCGGGACTGGTTCCGCTCTGCTAGCCGGCGGCGGGCGCGGGCGAGGCCGCCGCGGGTCGAGCGCCCCCGGCCTGGCTCGCGTCAGCTCCTAAGAGGTTGTCAGCCAGATGTGACACGATTGTCGAGAGGAACGAGGGAGAAGATCTGATATTAATCAATGCGTCGCTCCGAGCCAAACTTTCTCAGATGCGGTGTGGAAACATGTTCTTCTCATTTCAGGCATCTCTGTGGCTGCGGGCTGCCACCGGCCTGGGTTTGACAGTTTAAATGGAATGCCAGCTAGCAGCCTTGATGGTATGAGTGGAGCTGTGTGTTTCTGCGGGGGCGACCAGGCACACTGGGGTGCAGTGATGTCCCCTAGTTTTATGACCGCGCTCACCAGGGCCCTCCGAAGACAGGGCGTTTAAATCGGACCAGACGTCTGGTCGCAGCCAGGCCCCTCCTGTTAACACTTAAGGGGCCTGAAAGAGGCCCGCTGTGTCCTGGGAATCCCTGTCAGGGTGAGGGGAGGACATGTGTTACTGAATGGGACCACGGAGCAGATGCAGTAACAATTTTTTTTTTAAATACGTTCTTCTCATCAAAGCGACAAGATTTTGGCTTGACAATATAACTTAGTTGAAAAATAGCATTTGCAGATCTTTTTTTTACCCCTGGTGTCCTTTCATTCTTTTATTGTCTTAATATGATTAGATTTTATGGGATCTCTTCAGAAGATTTCATAGACTGAGTTTGCAAATGTGTTTATGTGTTAAAACTTTTGTTCAATGATAAATATACTCCCTTCTCAGTTATTCCTTCCCAGATTTATTGACAGACATTATTAAAACCTCATAAAAATTATGTGTCAAAATAAAATCAGCATGTAAAAGAACATCACTTTGAATATTACAAATTTGGATCTGATTTTTTTTCCTTTAAATATGTATGAAAAGATACCTGCCCCTTTTGCTACGAGGAATTTTGATAAATAACTATTCTTTTTGGCATACCTTCCGACAGTTAAAAATAATTAGACATGAGTCATTATTTGATTTCTTGTCTAATAAGTTTGAAAACTTTAATTTTACTCTGCAACTCTTACTGTTTCAACTCAACTGTTAGTTGAACATGTTCCTGTTATAGTTAAATGATGAGAAGAAGTGTTGAAATCTTCACTTAACATAGGTGCTGCTCATACTTTGAAAACTCATAATTATGTTCAGACCTCTGCGTAATTTAATTTTTAATATTGTCTGTACTCATACAGTCTCTTTAGACTGCTAAGGACTTAGTGACGTGTTTCTCCTTCATTTAGAGAGACATTGGTTACAAGTTTGAGGTTGTTATTTGGCCGCTGATGTCTACCAGTATGTGAAACAATTATCTGTTTGCTGTAGGTATAATTTCTACTAGAAATATTAACCAATGGGGAGTAGTTGCCTTAGAAACATAAGGTTTACATAGATGATTATTATATTTTTATTACATCTCTCCTATGCATCAGTTAGGCCTGCTTACCAGACCCATGCCAACATTCTATACCTCAGGATCATTGGGCTGGAAAGACAATCCATTCCATGAATGTATAGATTTCCCCATAGAACAGATAAGCATTACACTTGTCATTTATAATTTCCATTTATAATTTTCAAAGGATAAATATAAACAGGAGAACATTTTAAAAGTTCAGTTTGCTAGTAAAATTAAGCTGCAGTATATGGGGTGGGAGGCAAAGTGTCTTTCAGCTTTTGTATATATAGTTGAGAAGTTATTTTGATGGTGGTCATTAAAAGAGTCGCCCTGAAGGTTCTATAAGGTAAATTATTTGCAGGAGGAGTGTGCTTCACTCCAGGGTGAATTTTCTCTACAGATGTCATTTAGAGTGAGTTACTTTTGCCAGAAACAGCCTTTTTTAGAAAGACCTAGAAATACCTTAGCTGTGGCAAAATCTCAGTGCTGAGCCACCCATCATTTTGGTATCTAAGATCAAGATTTAGGGAGTCAGTATACTATTTTATAAAATAGTATACTGAGTATTCTGCTGCAGAGTTTTCATTTTATTCATTCGTTCATTTTTGACAATTTATATGACAAATGTTAAAGATAACTATGTTAGTTAAAAGAAGCATCTGGAACTTTGGGGGTTTTTTGTTCCCCCGCCCCTTTTAAATTGGTTTCTACCTGAAAACCTTATTTCTCCTTATCTTGTCATTCTTTGAGGTCCTTTTTCCTAATTCTGGAAATTCCAGGATTCCAATGTGGCACCATTTCTCTACGTAGACACAGACTTACATTAGTCAGAGGGTGGGTATAAACAGCAGCCTTGCTTCTCTGGGGTCCAACTTATGGCCTTCTCAAACTTTGCATAGTTATAAGCAAACAAGCATCACTATTCCTGTCCACATGTGGGCTCATTATTATAAATCAGTCTAACAAATAACAAGAGAACTCTACTTTCAGGGAATGATAATTTCACTCAGTTAATGTGAAGGAAGAGAGAGGTGGGAAATGAAATATGAAGGCCAGATCCAAGCAGACATGGGTGGAAGGAAATGTTTGCCTCAGATAAACTCTCATTCAGGCTTTTAACTTTTCCATACAATTATATTAGTTTGATTGTCCCTTCTTACAGATTGTTTGTGTAATCATATCATATACTCAAACGTGAAAATTATTTTCCAGCTCTACACCAGCTTCCAGAAGAATTGTCCTTGTTCCGTAGCCCTCTGATTGTTTCTTGCATTATTCATAATGAAGGTAAAATTTTATACCGCCAACTCTATCATTTGATGATACAGATGCTAAATTTTAAGACGGGGATTAGGATGGCATAATTAACTAATTTGAACTTTTCTTTTTAAAAATTTAGCGTTGAAAATCTAATTTTCATTAAGTGCCTGAAATAAATGTTTATAAGATTTTACTTAAAAATGTTTACAGTTTCACCTTTATTTTGGATCACACCAATAGTGAAGTTGTATTCCTTATGTAACTGGCCACCTTAGCTAATATCCTAAAGTTAAGTGTCTTGTTTATTTTTCTCCCCCTTGGTTGATTCAATTATGTTTAGAAGCTCTCTATACATTCATTTAACTTCTTTGATTTTTGTTATCAAATGTTTTTGAATAATATCTCTGAGGTCTTCCAAATTTAGGTTACAAAGGGAAATTTTTATATATCCATATCACTTTTACTTCTGTATAACTTGAAAAAAATTTTAAAAGAAAGATTTGGTTTGGTTTCTAAGGTAATATTTGCATATTTTAAACTTTTTATATTTTCAGTTTTAAAAACTAATAATTTTAAGAAAAAATGCACAGATGTTAAATTGTTTTGGCACAATATTTATATTTTGATTTAAAGACTTCAAAGAACAAGTTTTTTCCCCATTACCTTCTTTCAATTAAGCAGCAAGAGAACACTGCAAGTGTGTCACGCATGCATTTTGTACACAAGTAGACTTGGCCCAGCATCTGTCACCTGAAAAAACTTTACCTCCCACCTGTCTTAGCCAGGCCCTTCTCCATGCCCTCAGTTATCTTTGACTAGCCTCTCCTACTTTCCTTATTTGTAATGAGAACCCAGATTTTGTCAGGTCTCCTTTGGTGTCATTTTTACATTACAAATGCTGGTTTCTGGGGTTCTTCAAATCCCTTCTTTCAATCATGATCATGATTAACAGTGCCTCCCCTTTGTTCAGAACCCTAATGTTCCCTGAACCCAACAGAGAAACTTCTGAGTGCGCATCTGGTAAGCCTATTCCCAACCCCCACCTTAGGTTGCCTTTCAAGATTACTCTCACTGCCCTTAAGGAAACCTGTGCTCTGTGCTCCTGGGCCTGACATACATGGGCATGGTGAGACTTTCTTTGTGTACAGACCCATGGTATTTCCTACATGCACTGAAAGCATGCCTGCTTCCCCCTAGAGGCAGTCTCCTCTGGTCTCTGCATAACACTGCTCTCTTCATCTGTTTGCCATCTCACTCAAACTAAAATTTTGGAGAGATGGAAATTTTGACCTATTTACTTTTTCATATTTTATTACAGAAAATTTCTAAAATCAAAATTGGGGTAGTTTAGTGAAGCTTTCTGATATGTTTGGGAGCTCAAAAGTTGTGAACTCTTAGCCAGTCTCATTTTATCTATATTCCCTTATCCCTTTACCACTACCAGCACTGGATTACTTTGAAGCAAATCCTAGTGTCATAATTTCATTCACAAATATTTTAATATGTAGCTCTAAAATATAACTGTATATTTAACAAAAACAATATACGGGAGAGCGCGAGCGCGCACATACACACAGAGTATGGGGGTATAGCTTAGTGTCAGGACAGCTTAGCATGAGCAAGATCCTGGGTTCAATCCCCAGCATCAAAATATTATTTCTCAATATCAGGGTCAACAAATTTCCATTCAGTGTTGAAACTTTCTAATAAACTATATTACCATTGTTCAAATCGGGATCCAAGTCAGGTCTATTCATTGTCTTTCAATGTACAGGTTTACTTTTTTTCTTGCAGCTTTTCTATTTATCCTATATATGTGCTCCCCAGTCTGGATTTTAATGATTTCTGCCTGTATTACCATTTAAATGTTCTTCTGCCCGCCCCCATATTTTCTTACACTGGAATTGAGGCTTGATTTGATTCAGATTAGTAGGAACATCAGATTTGTGGTGATATGTAGCCTTCCGTCCAAAGGCAAATGGCCTGGTTGTTTTCTTTTTCATTAGGAGTTGTGGAACAGTGGTATTTGGGTTCTTAATTTATTTGATTCACATTCAAAAACAATCTTTGTCTCATCATTGATTCCGTTACTCTGAAATATAGGTTGTATAGAAAAGGATTCATACTTGGTTCTTTCCCATTGTTTACCAGTTTTCAGAATAACTAGCATTCTGTGAAGGTGGCCAATAAGTTTTGTGTTTGAGTGTATTTTAAGTTAGATTTTAACACGGTGAATGACTTGTGATAATTTTTGACAAATCATATTCTTTGCTCTGCTGTTCTTGGCCAGCTTAGTTGTGTGACTTTTCTTCCCAGTGAAGCCATGTGCTCCTTTACTGCAATAATACTGAAAGTTACTCATGTTTGTATGGTCACAAAGCTCCTCATAGATCCTAGTACATGGTAGTAGCTTTTCCAACAAAACTTTTAGAGTAAATTATCATCATTTTGTTAAGCTGTTGTTGGAAGATGATGGCATAATAGGTTGATGAGATGAACATCTGGCCCATGTGTATTTCTCCAGGTGGACTTCAGTTCCAGTGCTAACA